CAAAAACTTACCACTTGCTTTTTTGTTTTTTTCTGGTTGTTTTTTTGATTTTGTTTAGAATCGGTTTCAATAATGATAAACCCGTGAGTCAGTTAGAGATTAAAATGCTTGGCTTTATTTCTGCATTTTTCTCGGCAATAGTTCTTGTTGCTAACTTTTTGTTTCAAAGGGAAATGAGAAAAAACCCCCGCATTTTTTGTATTCATGGAAAATTGGGTGATGAAATTTCTCTTGTGGAGAGAGAGATTTTAAAAGAACTGGAAAGGGTGAGTATCTTGTTTGAAACTGACCAAGAGAAAAATCATACCATTCAACAACATTTAACCATAATGAGTTTAGAAGTTGAGGAAGATAAAATAACCGCCCATTTAAGCGATAGTCGTAGTATTATTATTCCGACGGCTTGATTTAAGCGATTACGAAATGCTACCCCCAAACAATTACAAAATTACAAAATCTCTCCCGCAGGTTGTGGCATCCATTGGGAGGAATTAGATGAGGACATAAGCATTAAAATTTTTCTTAATGGCTTAAAAGGTGGTTGTTGTCACTAGGATTTTTTCTAGAAAAAACTGTATATAATAGTATTAATAATGAAAAAGTCATTATGAAAATAAATCTCCCTACAACTTGAACGAGGCAGAAAATGTTAAGTTTGCTTTTATTTACTTGATTAAGAATTGATGGAGTAAAAGCCGGGCAAACTTTTAAAGATTGTCTTACTACTCATAATGATACCACTTCTTATAATAATCTTCTTAATTTTTCTTTCAATAATACTAATGCAGGAATAATAAATTTAGACTGTGATTTTATTGGTAATTTTGATAATTATATTGTTTATGTTCATTGTAATTCCTCGCAATGTTTTATTTATAATAACTGTGGTGGTGTAATCCCCCCCGCCGCCCCCGGCTCCTTTTTAGTTTCTTTCGCTTGCACTAACATTTCTGAAATGGTAACTTGTGATAACCATGCTAGTTGCGGCGGCATTATTGGAGAGAAATTAATCACTAAAAATACTACTAAAAATTCTTGTAATATTAGTAGTCTCAACACGGCAATTAATTATGTGGGGAGTGCTAATTCTACATACATACACACCAATGATTACTATTGTGGATGAGATAATGGCGGCTGAACTTGTCAGAATAGCAGTAATAACTGTGCTCTGCAATGAACAGTTTCCCGGCCAACATTTTCAACCACAACCACTGGTAGTTCAACTTCTACTCCCAACAATTCTTCTATTCCGACCGCCGATCCTTCCGTTAATTACTATCCTAATAACTCTGATCTCCCCAAAATACTCCCGCCAGTAATAGGAGGTAGTCTGATAATTACTACTGCTGTTGGCTATTGTTGTTATAAAAAGAGAAAGAAGAAAATTCTTCTTATAGCAGGAAGTAGTGAGGAAAAAATTCCGGAAACGACTATTCAACAATCCGAAAAAGTAACCCAAGAAGTTATTAATGATGAAAACTTAAATAAAAGAGAGGCACTAATACGATTGATTAGACAAATTAAAAATAAAATAGGAATTGATTTAGAAATAACCTTGGAAACTTTATTAGATACGCAATCAGAAATTACCCAAGGAAATAATACTTTTGCTATTAGACAACTGCAAAGAGAAGCCAAAGAAAAATTAAGGAAAAAAATAACTGCTGAGGAAATAAACAAACTTTGCCAACTGCAGGCAGAAGTAACGCAATTAGAGATGGAAAACACTGACCAAATTCAAGCCCAAATTGAAATAGCTCCTCAGCAACAAATTCTTGCTAATCCGCAGTAAAATACTTAATAGAAATTTACTATGCGAGAAATATTAAATAATGGAATTATGACTAAAGCCAACTCTGAAAAACAAGATTTTAAAAGATATCTTCAAGAAATCGAAAACCCCCGCTATGATGGTCCGGATATCTCCCAAGCCCTGCCGGCTAATGCTTCACCCATTGACAAAGCTAAATATCAAATTTGCGAGAAAATTTTAGCTTATCAGCAAGATAGTAATTTGCCTATTGAAGAAGTAGCTCGAAAAATCCAATTAACTACTGCCGAAACTAAAGATATTTTTCATTATCACTTAAGTCTTTTTACTCTAGAAAGGCTAATTACTTACGCTAACCGCTTATTATCTCCTCGCGAAGTGGAAGTAATTATTAACGAAAAAAAGCCAGCCAAGAATAATTTTCATGTCCGAACTGTTTAAATTAATCGAGGAAAAGGAGATTGATAACGAATGGCGGTGAACCTATTTAGTAGAGTTTGAGTTTATTTTTAATAATTTGCTAATTAATCACCTAACTATTACCGACCATTCTTGGAAAAAATTCGGACGAGAAAAGATTACCAAAGAATTAATTCTCAATATTTTTCGAGCCGAAGTAAATGCTAAAAGATTTTTCCCTACCGACTACCAAGGAATAAGAAAAGTTTTTGTGCGGGAAGGAGTTCCGTTTGGAGATGAAAAGTATAAGTTGGTATTTTGGTTTAAGGATGGAACAAATGACCATTTGTGAGTGAGAAATTGTCACGAGCAGGATTAAAATTTTTCTTTTTTTCAACTGTGATAAGTGCTTTTTTTAACAGAAGTGCTTTTCTTATATTTTTGCCTCGACCTGTATCATCTCGTCCTATTACCATATTATCTAACTAGTAGGTAGAGGAAATTTTTGTGTTATTAAAAGAGTAAGCGAGACGAGACAAGCTTAATGCATTACAAGCAAAGAGAAATGAGGTTAGTTAAGTGGTTTTTCTACTCACCTTTTGGAATTCTTAAAAAAAGCTTGGATTTTTTTGCGGAAGAGGAAAATGAAGAGAAAAATGAGAGAAAGGCACAGAAGAATGATTATTATGATTGGTTTCGCTTGGGCGGAATTTGGATTTGGGCAGCTTGGCTTTGAACTGCTTGATTCTCTTGTTTCCCCATCACTTTCTCTACTAAATTTCTCCATCCTTCCTGAACGTTTTTTTTTAACTGCCCAAATGGACTTTCAATAACGACTTCACTAGAAGAAATTTTCTTGCGTCTAGTATTTTTTGCTTGCTCGGAAGTTTCTTGCACCGATCGATGACTACTTTCTCCGTTATTACCACCAAGAACTTTCGCTTCTATCTCCTCCCAATCAATTTTTGTTTCGGCTCGTTTTTTTTCGATTTTTTGCTTTCTCGCTTCACGAACCGCAACAAGCATTTGTTCTTTAAAATTATTTACTTGATTCGTAAAATCATCAAAACTAACTTCATCAGATTCTAGTGCTCAAAATTTTTCCTCTCAACTTCCATAAGGATGTCACAAATTAGAAGGTAAATCCTCTTCTCACACAGAAAGAAAACCATGACCGATAGAATCATGCATGTTTTTATGAATCAAGTAAATAATTTTAAAGAACAAATGCTTGTTGCGGTTCGTGAAGCGAGAAAGCAAAAAATCGAAAAAAAACGAGCCGAAACAAAAATTGATTGGGAGGAGATAGAAGCGAAAGTTCTTGGTGGTAATAACGGAGAAAGTAGTCATCGATCGGTGCAAGAAACTTCCGAGCAAGCAAAAAATACTAGACGCAAGAAAATTTCTTCTAGTGAAGTCGTTATTGAAAGTCCATTTGGGCAGTTAAAAAAAAACGTTCAGGAAGGATGGAGAAATTTAGTAGAGAAAGTGATGGGGAAACAAGAGAATCAAGCAGTTCAAAGCCAAGCTGCCCAAATCCAAATTCCGCCCAAGCGAAACCAATCATAATAATCATTCTTCTGTGCCTTTCTCTCATTTTTCTCTTCATTTTCCTCTTCCGCAAAAAAATCCAAGCTTTTTTTAAGAATTCCAAAAGGTGAGTAGAAAAACCACTTAACTAACCTCATTTCTCTTTGCTTGTAATGCATTAAGCTTGTCTCGTCTCGCTTACTCTTTTAATAACACAAAAATTTCCTCTACCTACTAGTTAGATAATATGGTAATAGGACGAGATGATACAGGTCGAGGCAAAAATATAAGAAAAGCACTTCTGTTAAAAAAAGCACTTATCACAGTTGAAAAAAAGAAAAATTTTAATCCTGCTCGTGACAATTTCTCACTCACAAATGGTCATTTGTTCCATCCTTAAACCAAAATACCAACTTATACTTTTCATCTCCAAACGGAACTCCTTCCCGCACAAAAACTTTTCTTATTCCTTGGTAGTCGGTAGGGAAAAATCTTTTAGCATTTACTTCGGCTCGAAAAATATTGAGAATTAATTCTTTGGTAATCTTTTCTCGTCCGAATTTTTTCCAAGAATGGTCGGTAATAGTTAGGTGATTAATTAGCAAATTATTAAAAATAAACTCAAACTCTACTAAATAGGTTCACCGCCATTCGTTATCAATCTCCTTTTCCTCGATTAATTTAAACAGTTCGGACATGAAAATTATTCTTGGCTGGCTTTTTTTCGTTAATAATTACTTCCACTTCGCGAGGAGATAATAAGCGGTTAGCGTAAGTAATTAGCCTTTCTAGAGTAAAAAGACTTAAGTGATAATGAAAAATATCTTTAGTTTCGGCAGTAGTTAATTGGATTTTTCGAGCTACTTCTTCAATAGGCAAATTACTATCTTGCTGATAAGCTAAAATTTTCTCGCAAATTTGATATTTAGCTTTGTCAATGGGTGAAGCATTAGCCGGCAGGGCTTGGGAGATATCCGGACCATCATAGCGGGGGTTTTCGATTTCTTGAAGATATCTTTTAAAATCTTGTTTTTCAGAGTTGGCTTTAGTCATAATTCCATTATTTAATATTTCTCGCATAGTAAATTTCTATTAAGTATTTTACTGCGGATTAGCAAGAATTTGTTGCTGAGGAGCTATTTCAATTTGGGCTTGAATTTGGTCAGTGTTTTCCATCTCTAATTGCGTTACTTCTGCCTGCAGTTGGCAAAGTTTGTTTATTTCCTCAGCAGTTATTTTTTTCCTTAATTTTTCTTTGGCTTCTCTTTGCAGTTGTCTAATAGCAAAAGTATTATTTCCTTGGGTAATTTCTGATTGCGTATCTAATAAAGTTTCCAAGGTTATTTCTAAATCAATTCCTATTTTATTTTTAATTTGTCTAATCAATCGTATTAGTGCCTCTCTTTTATTTAAGTTTTCATCATTAATAACTTCTTGGGTTACTTTTTCGGATTGTTGAATAGTCGTTTCCGGAATTTTTTCCTCACTACTTCCTGCTATAAGAAGAATTTTCTTCTTTCTCTTTTTATAACAACAATAGCCAACAGCAGTAGTAATTATCAGACTACCTCCTATTACTGGCGGGAGTATTTTGGGGAGATCAGAGTTATTAGGATAGTAATTAACGGAAGGATCGGCGGTCGGAATAGAAGAATTGTTGGGAGTAGAAGTTGAACTACCAGTGGTTGTGGTTGAAAATGTTGGCCGGGAAACTGTTCATTGCAGAGCACAGTTATTACTGCTATTCTGACAAGTTCAGCCGCCATTATCTCATCCACAATAGTAATCATTGGTGTGTATGTATGTAGAATTAGCACTCCCCACATAATTAATTGCCGTGTTGAGACTACTAATATTACAAGAATTTTTAGTAGTATTTTTAGTGATTAATTTCTCTCCAATAATGCCGCCGCAACTAGCATGGTTATCACAAGTTACCATTTCAGAAATGTTAGTGCAAGCGAAAGAAACTAAAAAGGAGCCGGGGGCGGCGGGGGGGATTACACCACCACAGTTATTATAAATAAAACATTGCGAGGAATTACAATGAACATAAACAATATAATTATCAAAATTACCAATAAAATCACAGTCTAAATTTATTATTCCTGCATTAGTATTATTGAAAGAAAAATTAAGAAGATTATTATAAGAAGTGGTATCATTATGAGTAGTAAGACAATCTTTAAAAGTTTGCCCGGCTTTTACTCCATCAATTCTTAATCAAGTAAATAAAAGCAAACTTAACATTTTCTGCCTCGTTCAAGTTGTAGGGAGATTTATTTTCATAATGACTTTTTCATTATTAATACTATTATATACAGTTTTTTCTAGAAAAAATCCTAGTGACAACAACCACCTTTTAAGCCATTAAGAAAAATTTTAATGCTTATGTCCTCATCTAATTCCTCCCAATGGATGCCACAACCTGCGGGAGAGATTTTGTAATTTTGTAATTGTTTGGGGGTAGCATTTCGTAATCGCTTAAATCAAGCCGTCGGAATAATAATACTACGACTATCGCTTAAATGGGCGGTTATTTTATCTTCCTCAACTTCTAAACTCATTATGGTTAAATGTTGTTGAATGGTATGATTTTTCTCTTGGTCAGTTTCAAACAAGATACTCACCCTTTCCAGTTCTTTTAAAATCTCTCTCTCCACAAGAGAAATTTCATCACCCAATTTTCCATGAATACAAAAAATGCGGGGGTTTTTTCTCATTTCCCTTTGAAACAAAAAGTTAGCAACAAGAACTATTGCCGAGAAAAATGCAGAAATAAAGCCAAGCATTTTAATCTCTAACTGACTCACGGGTTTATCATTATTGAAACCGATTCTAAACAAAATCAAAAAAACAACCAGAAAAAAACAAAAAAGCAAGTGGTAAGTTTTTG